AAATAGAATAAGGATAAAAAAGCTTTTTCTGTAGGAGTATGAAAGTTATTAGCGAAAATATATTTTCTACCCCAAACTTCTAACCCTTGTAAGTTCTTACAATAGTACTAACGTATAAAAAAATCAGCGTGGTAAATTGCTCCAAAATCGACAAACAATTTTCGCAAAAAAAAATTTATTTGGGGTGGTTAGGGTAGTTAACCCCCGCCACCCCTTAATGTCGTATAGGGTTTATTTTACTGCGTAAATCTTAATTTACATCTAATTAATGGTTTTCTTCAAAATATTGTTCAAAAGTGTAACTGTTTATCACATTATTCTTAAGGAAAGGGGTTATCTATCATACCCCGTAACTTTGCAGGGGATGGTCAGAGGCAAATAAGAAAAAACACGTCATTAATATTTTTAAACGTACTATAAGGACACATAATATCGCCAAAATCGACAGGGTAGTTTTTAAAATATTCCAAAAAACTAGGGGTAGTTTACCCCCTGAAGCCCTCAGATATATGTGTGATATATCAATGGAAAGCTCTTTGAAAATGAATATCAGTTTACATTTACCACATTTCGATAGCTATTTTCGTTTTCAGCCTATAAGCGAATATATATATTTCGCCCCGATTTGCAACCCTTATAACTCGCGCCAGGGGCTTTATTAGCACATATAAAAAAATACGTAAACCTTCTTTTTGGCCATACTATCGCTGTACCAAATTTCAACAAAATCGGCGAGGGACAGTTCTGATAATTCCCTTGTAAGTTAATACATAATAAATATTATTTGAATATAAAACAAAACTAATACGGAGAAAGAAAGCGATGTAAATAAAATACCTTGCGTTAATTTAAATTAATAACTAGTTTAGACCATGAACATTTTTTAAATAAACCTAAATTTTTAATTTAATAATATTGTGGTATCAAATTAATTTCACTTTATTTTTTTTTATTTAATTCATAATCCATATTAACCAATTAATTAATAAAAATAAAGATGATTTTTTTGTACTTATATTGGTTATGTTATTTTAAACTTTTAATAGCCAACGTTCCCAAAATGGGAACATTACGTCAAACATTTTTTTTATTACAATTTTAACACAGCCTATTTTTTTAAATGGACACCATTTTTCTAAGATGCTAACTTATAGAGATTTATTTTTGCAACAATTATTTTATTAAGTCAATACTCTATTTGTAACACTGTACAGGGTGAGCAATTTCAACGGTAGAATATACTACCGTTGAAAAATTTTAAAAATATTTGATGATTTTTCAGATACAACACAAAGTTGTATTTTTTTTAAATACAAACTATAGTAGATTATGGTGTTACTGAAAATAGCATATTTTTAGCTTTCCAATGATGTATTGCACGCTTGGTGTATTTGGGGAAAATAAGCGTATGTTTTAATTCTAAAATATTAAAGATTAAAATTCAAAATTTTAATTATAGTAGGCAAGGAGAACGTTAAATGCCATTTAGTTACTATAGTAACGTGAGTTTACTGATCATTTCATTCCTGAATTTTTCGAAACGAGTTTCCCGCTTAAATATTTCTAATTATCTTCAAATTCATAAAACGAAAAATTAAAAAATGATTCTTTGAAAATGATAGATAAGGCTCCATATCCCATATAAACATCGTTTCAATGGAAAGTCCGCTGCCCAGTTTATGATCCCTAATCTTCCTCTATCTCACCCAATTTCAAAAAAAAAAGGTTGCTAATATGAAAAAACTTCTAAATCTCATGGTTGGGGAAAACTGGGAAGATACTACCGAAGATTTCATTCATTGATACCCAACTGTTCTAACCTTACAACCAGTAAGTTTAGTAGAAGAAGATGACACAGTCTGTGACTCTTTAGTTCTTAAAGTTGTTGTTCATAATTATTTATTCATTAATTAATACGTTTCTTGTATTTTTAATAAACAAACTTTATCTACTAAATCATTTTTGTTGGTGAACAAAGTCAGGGATAAGACACTGAGAAATTTAAATCAACTATTCAAAGATTTTATTCGTTGGTACAAAACCAACTTTATCCTGCATAATGGTACAAGACCAACTTTCTGTCATATCCGTGCAAAACCATATAGCAATTAGGTAGTAATTACTGTCCGAACCCGCCTGCTATAATCAAAATTTTGAACTTTAACGCTTACTATTTTGGAATTGAAAATTAAGGCTTATTTTCCGCAAATACACCATACATGCGATACATCATTGGAAAGCTAAAAATATGTTCTTTTCATTAACATCATAATCAAGTATAGTTTGTATTTCAAAAAATACAACTTTGTGTTGTATCTCAAAAACCATCAAATATTTTTAAAATTTTTCAACGGCAGTATATTCTATTTAAAAAAGTGTCTTAACCCTAGGATACTTAACCAATAAAATAACTATAGTAACTAAATGCTCGCCGGGCCTGAGAGGCCCGGTTTATGCATCTTAGGGTTAAGAACGTATCAATCCCATTTCTCTAATTTCAAAAATATACGAAATATGAGCATTTTTTGAAATCACGAAAATTTGACTTTTTGGCTATAACTTAAAAACAAAAGAAGATAGAGGTTTGGTGTTTGCGGGATTAGATTAGTCTCGAAAAAAGAGATCGGGACATGGCACCTACTTTTTTCGTATCTCTTATAGTTTTTGAGATAGCCTATAATAACACCCAAATTTGCCCACCCTGTACATACATTTAGTCGTTTTTGAGATTTTTGTTTCCTTTTATTGCACATTCTTTTTATTACCTTGTTTGTTTCTGTCGACTTATGCTAGCATGTACCTACATGTTACTAAGTAGAAGTGTAAATAATCATTAAGGAATAGTACCTGCTGAGTACTGAACAACCCTTTCAAGTATTTTCTTAGAAAATTAAGGCGTCCCATTTTGGGAAAGTTGGCCTCTCAGTTGTAAAAAAGCAATAAAATTGCCTTTTTTTACCTACTCTCAATATTTTATTGTTAGGGTTTCTTCGATTCATAAGAGCAAAGTTACTCATTCTCACTTTACACGTGTTGCCGAACGGTGTAAAGTTTATACATTGGTGGTTTATAAAAAAAAATCATGTTTTTTATTCATTCCTATACGTGCGTTATGGATACACGGAAATTTTATGGGTATGATTTTTATTGTTTTCTAAATCCGTGATAATGATTTTGCCACTTTTTTATGTAAAGGTGTTCCATTAGATCGTTTCGTTTTTTGAGTGATACTTTGAATGTAGTAGAAGCGTCTACATCAAACAATTTGCGTGATGTTGTGATTCTCCCACCAGATTCGGGTGATAAAGGAATACAAAGTGATGAGAACGAAATTGACGATAAAAATTTCGACATAGCGGGTCTACCACAAGAAGTAACTGGTGAAGTAGAGTTACATGAAAGTGCTATCACTGACGAAGAATCTGATGAAACAGAACCGAAGACAAAAAAAACATTGCAGTGGAGAAAAGAGCTATCCCTACAGATGCAGTTGAACCGGAAAAGGTTGGAATTGAACATGCTAAAAAATCAGAGTATGAAATTTTTCTGTTGTTTTGGACAGAAGAGATTCTTTCTCATATAACATATCAAACGAATCATTACGCAGCAAGAGATCAAAATCACCACAATTTCAAAGTAACTGAAGAAGACATTTCTCAGTTTCTTGGATTGTTGTTGATCAGTAGCTACCACAGTCGTCCTAAAGAAAATGATTGCTGGTCAACAGCAGAAGATATGGAAGCTCCAATTTTTTTCAAAATAATGAGTATAGAAGCGTTCAGACGAATAAAGCGGTATATACAGGTAGCGGGTAATAATAGTTTAGAAAATTGGAAAGTTGTCAAAGTGTTACCTATATATAATATGTTGAAGACGAATCTACTGCGGTTTGGAATTTTCCACAAACATTTAAGTATCGATGAAGCAATGGTTTCTTATTATGGACATCATTCTGCTAAGATGTTCATAAAAAACAAACCAATTCGGTTTGGTTTCAAAATATGAATGTTGTATTGTAATGTGATATGTGTAATTGTAGTATTGTTAAAATTTAATTGTTTGTGGAATGTATTGCTGATATGGTAGCAATAAACTTAATTAATTAATTATTATGAATGTTGTGCGGGACCGACGGTTATCCATATAACATGGAAATATATTGCGGGAAATCACTTGTACATAACAAAGAACCGTTAGGAACTCGTGTCGTAAAAAATATGTTATCTGTTGTTCAAAAACTTTAACAACATGTAATATTTTTTGACAACTTCTTCTCCAGCTATGCACTATTTGATTATCTGTCAGAGACAAACATTCGAGCTTGTGGAACTGTTCGTGAAAACAGAATAAATAAAAAACATTGAGGATCATACGATTATAAGTCCGACGGAACGGTAATTTGTGTCAAATGGAACGACAATGCAATAGTAACCCTACAAAGTAACCACTACGTTGTAACACCTCTTCAAAAGGTTTCTAGACGGGTAAAAGGACAAAACACGATAGACGTGATACAACAAAATCTGATAAAGAGGTATAATGAAGGAATGGGTGGTGTTGATCTCTTAGATCATCTTTGCTCCAGCTTCCGACCAAAATTGTGACTAAAGAAATGGTGGTGGAACCTATTTTCACATGCATTGAATTTAGCGGTTGTAGCTGCATTTCGTTTTTACCAACATATCAACAACAACGACAAAATAACACATTTAGAATTTAGATCCACAATTGCACTGTGTTTGATAAAAGTAAACGCGACTCAACGACAAAGAGAGGGAGGACCTACAGCACCAGTAGTGCGTGATACAAGACATGACGGAATTAACCACATAGTAACCACATGTTCTCAAGGAAGATGTAGTGTATGTATGTCAAAAAAATACCAGACTTACGTGTTCAAAATGTGATAAAAGGTTGCACAAAAATGTTTGTTTTGAACTATTTCAAAAAATAATAAACTTTTTTATTATACATGGTTTTTTTATTTTGTTTCATCAATATATTTCATAGTTTTATGCACTTGTTTCATTGTTTTCTAATAACCAATTAACATCCTTTTATTAGCGTACTTACATACTAAAGCAACCAACGTTTCCAAAATGGGAGCATGCTATTTTCAAAATCTTGAGAGAAAAGTTTTATTTTTTTTAGTGGATAATCAATCCATATAGGTCTATAGAAAAATTTGTGAAAAGTTAAACAAGAAAAACAAAGTTTTTCACAACTCGGCCTCTAGAAGGTTAATTATGCAGCTTTATATGTTTCGACTAATACAAATAATCTTCAGAAGCTCTAAAAGAGATTAACAACCAAAATATTTAAGTTAATTAAATAATCTAAAAGTGCTGTTTGAGCTTTGTTAAGAAAATTCTCATAACAAAATTAATTTTCCCTTCATGAAGGTGTTACTTCCATCAGATCATATAAAAAACAGTCTTAACTTTGTAAATGAAATAAAAGCAATATTTAAAACGATTTAAATTACAACTTACTAATGAGGATAAAATAAAACGATTAGGACACTCAGAAAATACCTTTAATAACTAATAAGTAATTATTCAACAATCTTACTTAAAGGAAAACAAATACTTTCTATGTGGAAATTGTCCAATTTGAGGACAATTAAAAATATAATTATGCCAGCAATATGTATAAATAGGTAACTCTTACTTAAATTATATCAATGTCAAGTCTTCTACAATAAAAATGGCTTGTAAACCAATTAACCACTTTTTTCTTTTACTAATCATAAATGTTATTTATGTTGAAGTTTCGAGTAAATGTCACCATGTACCTACAGTAATTCCCCCATTTAACGAAGTAAGTTTTAGATATATGATTTTTTTTATTTGTTTTTTTTTGTTTAATTTAAGATGGAAGGAAAATGGTACCCTATTCAAACAGGAGATCCCCTAGAACTATCAAGAAATTGCGTTACGTATAACTTCACATATTCGAAAACAAAGGAAGGAGAAGTAATCAGAGCTTATCGTTTATCGGATACCGGGAAACAAGAAAAATTTAAGGCAGTATTGTTAAATGGACGAGTAACAGTACAGCGAAAGGGCAATAAAGATGATCATGTGATGAATCTTCTAGTGCCTTCTGTTGATCCTAATAAATATTACGTATCTTATATTTGTGATCCAAAATCGAACGATTTAGGTAAACTGAAATACTAATAATTCTTAGTAATAATAAAATTAGTAGATAAATAAATTACTATTCATAGGTTTCGTGTACGTGTCAGTAAGACATAGGTATTTGGAAAATTATTATAGAAAATTTGTAGAGACTTTTTGGACAAAATTTGGGTTTAATAAAAAGGAAATGTTTGGTATTAGTCAACAAGGATGTCCAAACGTAGAAGGATGATTTGTTCTGATTATTAAACGATACATATTTTGAATAATATATAGATCATAAATGTTGGATTCTGTTTGATTATTTAATGTTTAAAAATTCTGATTGTCTATTAAACTACGTTTTTTTTTTAATAAAACCTATACTACAAGTTTTATTTTTAGTTTTCAACACCTATATTATTAGAAAACAGCTGTTATTAGGTTATCGCTTCATGTAGATAACACATGCAAGTTAACTATTGCATTTCAAGGTCAAATAAACCGCATACCATAAATTTCCTTAAATCATTAATGATGTTCATTTTAAGGAAATATTTTATTTACTTAATTTTAAAGTCTTTAATCAGCAAAAGAGCACAAGCACATAAATAAATTAAACATACTTCTTATTCTTGAAATATGAGTAGTAAAATAAATAAAACTATCAATTTCTTAACACGTAAAAAGTTGATCGATCATTTTAGTGTTTTGTTTATTCAACATCAATTTTAAACAATTAAAAAATACGCTGGAGAAAATACAAATTTTTTTATTTATTATTTATTAATTTAAATATTAATAAAATACGACGTGTTTCCTTTTTATGGAATTTTGTGTTATTATTATTTTTGTTTTTTTTATTATTTTTTATCTAATAATAACTGTCTAAATATTTTAATGACTATTTCATTTATAACGTTAACAATCAATAAGAATACGCGGTTTTCCGTCAACGGTTATTTGGCTGTAACCATGAATAACGATAATACGAACCTTTGTATTATCGCTCGTATGACATTTAAATAATTTTAAGATATACATGAAAGTTTCCATAACCATCAATGTAATTTATTAGTAAACAAAAATATTAAAATTCTAAAAATATACATATTTTTTATTCATGAAATAGTCTAGCCATATACAACACGATTATCGAAAATACTCGAATCTAGACGTATTGCCTTAAAAACATCACTTTCGGTCTCGTGGTGTTTCAGACAATACGTCTCGTATTATCAAGTATTTTCGATCGTCTTGTTATATAACATATGAAAATACAGTGTCTAGATTATTTCTGCATATAGTAATAGCATTTAATTACTTTATTAAAATGATTGTGGTAATGCCACAAATATTCCGCGGCCCCAATTGGAAAGTTAAAAACGATTAAATAAATTTTATAATTGAAAAATAAGTCGTTATTAATCAATTATTAAAATTAATTTTTTTTTCTTTTTATTTAATGATTCTATATTTTTAGATTTAGTATTGTTTAAAATGAATGATGGTTTCAATCGGTCGATATGAATACAATGTTGCTGATTATTTTTTAAAATGGTGAAAGTTTTGGGAAACTTTTTTACCACATTAAAAGGTCCCTCATACCTAGGAGCAAAAGTTGACTTGATACCTTCTTCTCCAATAAACACGTAATCTCATTCATACAGATTTGTATGTACGAAAATTTTGGTAGAGGTAAAAAGATTTTCTTTGCGAAAGTAATGGATCTACGATAGCCACATCATGAGAGGTGATTAAGAATTCGCCTGGTAGACGTAGGGGTTGCCCGTAAACAAGTTCTGCAGGCAAGCATCCTAAGCAGACCACCTTGTAAAACGGTCAATAACTGTTAAAATATAAATGTAACCACAAGAAGCTGATACAGGACCTATAGTATCAATACGAATAGTTTCAAAAAGAACAAAAAAAATACCGAGGTTCACGCTCAAAGGCGATGAATTGCAGAATATTGTAAAAGAGCTTTTCCCAGTGGAAAATAGGATTGTGTGGAGCAGACAAAAGTAGAATGAGAGCGTTAGAGAGGCGACGGAAGAAGAATTATTAGAACTGGTTAAACATCTTAAGAATAAAAAGGTTCCTGGACCGTGTCAAATAACGCCAGAAATTGTCAAAGATACCATATATGCAGATTCAAAGAAAGTCACTGAAATATATAATGTATTGTTGAAGCAGGGAATTTTTATCTGATATATGGAAAACAGGAATGTTGGTATTAATTGAAAAACCAAAAAACCACGGAAGAACAGCTTATAGACCCTGTTAAAAAAGTTTAATTTATTTAGATTTTGTTTATTTATAGAATTGTTAAAAATGTATTATGTTTTCTTTTCATTCACATATTTTATATTATTATTTTATTTTAAAATTCAAATATTATTTTATGTCGTATTTCTTGTTCCTGTTTGTCTTGTATAAAAGTCTTGTTTTTCGAATAAATGTCCTCTTTTGTCGTTCAGCTTTCGTGGTGTTTAATTCAAACCTGTTCCCTCAAAAGTTATTTCAATTTTTCAATTCCCGAAAAATACCCCTTTAATTCCGCGAAAGTTTTCGTTCAACATTTTTTGGTCCTTCGAGCCGGATGTTATAATCGCGGATTATTTCGATTTTCGCGGAATCACGTTAGTTTCTTCGCGTGTGCGCCATTTTTGGCGGTCTTCAAAAATGTGATATTATCTTGAGTATGTTTTTACACGATTGTTAATCGGCGTGCGTATTTATTTTCAATAAATCATAAAGACTTAAGGGGATTCACCACTGAAAATAGTGAAAAATCATTAAATTAAAAAAAAATTTTTTTTTGTCTTATTTTGTCATTTGGAGCCTACTGAATAAGAATATAGTAGCCTAAGACCTATATCTTAACCCTAAGTATGAAAAAAATAACATTTTTTGCATACGCGTCAATGGACAAAATCTCACATTTTTACTAGATACCTCTTATTTTTTGCTAAAAACATCATGATCTTTATTTCTTTGATATATTTTCATTATAAATATGTAAACCACATATTTACATCTTGTTTCATATATATATTCAATAATTATACTCTTTTATATTCATTACTCTATGCTAAAGAAGAAGAAGAAGTAGTAATAGAATAAAAACAAAACAACTTGTGCTCTGTCATTTGTTATTCTGCTGTTGAGTTTTAGGTTGTTTGTTTTGAGTAAAGTTTAGTTCAGTTTTATGCAATAAAGTATGGGAAGAGTCAAGAATACAAGAAAAAATGTTGCTAGAAGAAATAAGGAAAATATTGCAAAGCGGTATGAAATGCAATCTGCAAGTCTTGCAAGTATTGATATAGACACAGAAATCAATGATGAAAGTGAGGTTATGTTACTACCCAATGATAATGTTACTGTACCAAGTACATCTGAACCAGGTACCTCATGTTCTAATAATGAGAATGAAGTTCCCGATAAACCTACAGGCTTCGCGCTTTATAATAGCTATAAAACAGAAGTCACATTTGACGATAATGCGCCTAACTATATTTTGGTAGATGGAAACAAACTATCAAATTTTATGGAAACGTTTCCTTGTCCTGAGTGTGCAGGGAATCTTCAAGTCTTTCAAATGCCTTCAAAGGGATATGCACATGTTTTTAAAATATGGTGTCACGAATGCGATTACAAAAATAATTTTGAAGCGTCTAACAAAACAGTCGAACATGAGGGCTCGACTTCACGCTTATCGTACGATGTAAACCGAAGGGTTGTACAAACCTTTAGTAGCTTAGGAAAAGGCCATAGGGGATTAGAGGCGTTCAGTATGTCAATGAATATGAAGCCTATGAGCTGTAACGCATATTATCAACATATGAGACAAATGGAAAAACAATACACCAAGACGGCAAACGAATCCTTGGAAAACGCAAGGACAGAAGTAAGAAAAGCTTATTCTATTATAAACAATACTGATTTAGATGACCGGGGCCCAATAAACATTTCCGTTAGTTTCGATGGGAGCTGGCAGAAGCGAGCGTTCACCTCAAAAAATGGCGTCGGTTGTTGCATCGATGTGATAACCGCTCTGGTAGTGGACTATGAAGTTTTATCCAAACACTGCAGGGTTTGCGATAAAATGAAAAAGAAGCTGGATTCAGGAACAGATAGATTTCAAGCATGGTTTGAAAGGCACAGTCCTAATTGCCAAAAAAATTATGATGGGTCTTCGCCGTCTATGAAGACTGAGGCTGCGGAGCGCATATGGAAAAGATCGGAAAAATACGGGTTCCGTTATACTACATTAGTGTCAGATGGTGATTTTAAAACGTTTAGACACCTTACAGATCTAAATCTATACGAAACTCCAATTGAAAAAGAAGAATGTTTGAACCATGTAGCCAAGCGCCTTGGAACTGGCCTCCGCAAAATCGTTTCGGAAAACACCGGAAAAGGCAAAACCTTGGGAGGCAAGTCATATGGCAGTTTGAAATTGACAACTATAAACAAACTGACTACTTACTATAGAAATGCAGTTCAAACCAATTTAGGAGATGTAAAAAAAATGAAAAATGCTGTCCTTGCAACTCTGTCCCATTGCTCCTCTACTGACGATAAACCGAATCACCAAAAGTGCCCGAAGGGACATGAATCATGGTGTTTTTACAACCGGGCCATTGCCAATGGTGAAATACCTGGCCTTCACAAGGATAATGTGAAAACCCCGTTGACTGAGAGAGTGGTTTCCAAAATTCTACCACTATATCAGCGTCTTGCTAGTGACGAGTTACTCGCCAGGTGCGTCTCCGGAAAAACACAAAACGCCAACGAGGCTTTGCATGGCGTAATTTGGACAAAATGTCCCAAAAATACCTTCGCATCTCGAAGTAAACAACAGATGCAGGTGTGTGAAGCAATATGCCAGTATAATACTGGCTATAGGCAAGCCATATCTAACCTTCAAATGTCAATTGGTCTTAGCCCTGGAAGAAACGCTGCCAAGATTGCCAAGCGCTTCGACAATAAAAGACTAGCACTGGCACAGAAACGTAAAAAGATGAACTTCACAGAGTACAGAAGGAAGTTGAGACATGCACAGCTTGAGGAGGAAAACAGGAAAATAGAAGCGGAGGGGAAAACATATGGTGCCGGTGAATTTTGAACGTCAACGACCGAACTCTGTTTTATTTTACGATGTATATATATATTTTATTGAACACTGATATGGTAATGTTACCTAATATTGATGTATAATACAAGCTTTTGACCTAATATATTGTGTAAATTTATTTCACAGCCATAAACTAAAACATATACTTCAAATATTAGTGTTGAACATACGTTTTCTTTCAAATGCAGTTTTCCGAAGTTTTGAATTCTACACATTTTCAGAAAAAAATTGATATATCTTGAGAACCAATTT